GGCAGTCCACGGTATGTTCAATACTCTATTGATTCTTCTTCTGCCAGTCATAATTACTCTCCAGCCCTCGGGTCCATAGCAAGCAGAAGAAGCCCATGGCTTGGATCAGGAGCACTTTAGGCTCTAGACCAACAATATTGCTCTTTAGCACTCCAGAGAAGTCCTTGATAGCAGATTTTCCCAATTTGTCTTTTGATTTTCTGACTGCTGGTGTCAAGGGGGTTGACCCATAGTTGACACTCCAGTGGGTTTTCAAAGACAATAACTCACTTGGGAGGAGACTGCCCATCTGTCTCCAGTAGAGCAGCTGGTGGTTTTGAACTGTGTGCCTTTGGAATTCCCGCACAGCTTAACACTAGGTCACTAGGGCTCCCTACCCAAAGACACTATTATATTTGTGTGTGTATTGTGTACCATAAAGTTGGAACTGATCCACGGCTGACCCTCTGGCAGGTTTTAATCATACTAAAGGATATTGCCATCCTTCTCCCACAGAGCAGCTGGTGGATTCAAACTGTGTGCCTTCATAATAGTAGTATAGTTTGTTACCACTAGGCCACCGAATGACACTAGTGGGGATTATATGCAACATACCTCTCATGCCTGTTTTTGCTAGCCAATACCAGCATTCTACTTCCTCAAATGCTGAAGGACTTCCAAATATCTCTCTTTGGGTCCAAATTTTTATCTGAATTCTAGGATCATATCATACATCACTTAGATACCTCAAAGATACCTCAACAAGATCTCCACTTAGGCTTGTTCTTGTCTCCTTACCTCTTGTTTCCTTCCATTGAACACCTTATCTCAGTGAATAGTGCCACCATACATCCACTGTAAATATCATACAGCTGAGGTCATTCTGATCATCTCCTTCCTCTCCTGCCACCATACAAGCCAGCACTTGATGTTATTGATTCTGCTTCCTCTCCACCAACATGACTCTTTCTCTCCTGAATCAATAAAGGTAGTCTCAGAACTGGCTTGCCCCTATCCACCTCTGGGCCCTCCAGCCTCCTCTGCACACAGTAGTCACTATGATCCTTTAAAGCACAGCTCTGACCATGTCACTTCTGTGCTTGAATTCACGGTTAACATTCTCTCTCCTCTTGGGATAAAGATTAAAGCCTTATAATGGCCTATATATGCAAGATGCAGTAATATAGCTATATAAGTTGCTACCATGTTGAAATGCTCCCGTTCCTCTCGGCCAACAGTCATCATCTCCATCTCTCATGGGTCCCCTCCTCTACGGCTCTGCCACACAGTCTTCTCTCCGAGGACTCTTCACTTCAACCCAGCAATGACAGTGTTAATGGCTGGTGCAGCAGCCACACACATGCAGGTGTGCACCTTATTCTAGCCTGTGACATGTTGTTCAAGTTGCTGAAGGGACAGTCCAGCTTCATCTCTCCCTTGTCCTCTGGCCCCTCCTGTCCACTGTCCTTCAACTCGCCACACTTTGTACTGCTTCAGAGATTTTGCACAGGCGGCTCTCCCTCCCTGCATGAACTGGTTTTGCCTTTCTTCACTGCATTAACCTCTACTTTTCCTTTAGCTCAGGAGCTCTGGTTGGCAAATACCATTTGAACTTGATTACTAACCTAAAGGTTTGTGGTTCAAGTCCACCCAGCAACAGTGTAGAAGCAAAGGCAGGGGATCTGCTTTTGTCAAGATTACAGTTTAGACACCTCGTGGGATGTCTGTAACACACTGGGCTGCAGGCTCAATCACACAGCAAATCTCTTCTTGTTTTGTTTTTCTTTCAGCTCATTTATCTTTTCTTTAAGGAAGCCTTCTCTGACCCCAACTACAGGTTGCATCTCTCATATAAATCCTATGCCTCCTTGTCATGGTTCCTAACACAGTATGTGTTTGTATACCAATTGGTGTGCTTACAAGATTAATAGTTCTCCCCATCAAAATACAATTCAGAGAAAACAGAGACTATGCCTTTTTAAAAATACATCTCTAAATCCCAGAAGCGAGCTCTGGTGGCCTAGTGGCAAGAAGCTGCGCTGCAATCCTGGAGGCACGTGTTCGAGGCCACCAGCTGCTCTGAAGGAGAAGGATGGGCAATCTCCTCCCATGCACTTAACTGCCTCTGAAAACCAGCTGGAAGGGTCAGCATTGGGTCGGTCCTGACTCCACGGTACTCAACACCATCAACAACAACAAATCCCAGAACTCCACATCCACACGGAGATGCACATGATGACACGGGATCCATGGGTTGGGAGCTTCAACAACGTTTGATTAAATTAAAGAACCTGGCATTCCTATAAAGACAGTGGCAAATGAATAAGTCTGTGTGTCTTCTTACGTGTGAATTTCGGGTTTTTTCCCTCATTTTAAGTGTAATGATAATAGTAATAATAACTCTTAACAGAAGATAATTTATGCAAAAAGGAAATTGCCTTTGGGTATTCAGGTGTCTCTTATATAAGCTAAGAGTTCCTCTTTCCACGCTACTTAGAGTAATTATTTCCTATTACGGCTAGCAGCTCATCTTGCTTCCACAAAACACATTTTTTGAAAGTGTGTTACTTATATAAGGATCAACATTTGCTGTATTACTGCCCATTATAGCCGACAAATTCAAAAGATTCAAACCAGACGCAAATTCCCAAGTCACGACCCCTCAAGCCATGACAACAGCCTGTTTTTGTCTCTCTTCTAAGCAATTAAAGTGTGTTTTAAAGAGAAGGATGCTCCGTGTTCCACTGTGAGGTCCATCTTGGGAAAATTATGGAGAAACAGTGTGGTCCCGACAGATGCACTAATGTGTTTAATGAGAGCATGAGCTTGGCCACCACAGTTCTCTTTCTCCCCTCGCTGCCTATATTTCCCCTTCAAAAGCAAAATCAAACCAGATCAGCCACCCAGTAAAACCAGAATGAGACTCAGACAGTGCTGACAAGCTCCTTCCAGCGCAGCCTGTCTGCAGCGGTGTCACTGCAGAGGTCAGGTTGAAAAGACGTGGCTGGAATAGATGGGTCCTGAATTTGAGGCTCTGAGAGTGGATATGTGTAGCATCACCAGAGCCAAGGAGGCTTTGCACTATGGCAAACTCTTCTTTCATTCCCACCTCTGAAATTCATTTCCTCGCTTGCAGCTTTTTCCTCTTTAAAAGAAAGAGGTTAGCCTTCGCCATGGCTTCCATCTCAAGTCTGAGCTGGGAGCCTCCCCTCCGCCTTGCCTATAGCAGGACTAAGAGCTCCTTGTCACTGGCAGCAGGCCGATCGGAAATAGTGTCAATAAAGTGCAAATAATCCCTTGGTGCCTGCTGCTCTCTGAGCCTGAAATGAACCAAGGAGGTGCTCTGAGGAGAGCAAGCAGAGGGACCAGGCAGAGAATCCCAAGTCTCTGCCTCACCAAATTGAGACCAATCAGGAAAAAGCCATTCCCTGGGTCTCATCAAAACCTTCCAATTTCACACAGAAAATGAGCACTGGCTTGAGGCTTATGAACATTCGGTTGTCCCCATTTCTGCTAAATGGATTCCTTTGAGAGCCGGGATTTTAACCCTTGGAAGGCCTTGGAAGGGGTGACACTCTCCACCAGGGAGCCGCACTGCGGAGAGGCAGTCATCAGTATTTTTCTAGCCTCTGCACTGAACAAAGGAAGCTTCAGGTCTCTCACTCTTCCACTCCCAGGATGGCCCCCCTAGGGGAGGCAGAGAGAGCAATCTCTCTCACCTGAGAGGAGGCCAGAGACAACCCTTGGTGGCCCACAGCCCAAAAGCAGGTTCTTAAAGCCACGCCCAAGCCCCCTCCCCGGAACTGCTCTAATGGCCAGAATCACACCTTTCTTTCTCCCTTGCATTGCTCTTTCTGTTTCTTCTGTGAAAGAAATGAATTTGGAGTCTCAAACTGACTATCCAAACAATAACCTGGAGCTTCATGGTTAGAGTCACAAGAGACATTCCCACGTCCTCATGGGTGGAGTGCCTGTGTATTTGGGCAGAGGGAGGAGGGAGAAAGGAGGACGAGATTGGTCCTTCCCATCTAGTTGGCTCATCTGAAGTCAAGTCTACAAAGGGAAATTTCCCTGCTGAAATCCATTCTCCTGGGCTTCTGCTTCTAATTTCAGGCCTACTTCTGTTGCCTAGCTCACAACTCACCCATCCCATTCTTTCTGATCATGTCTATCTCTGAAGTAATCTCACCAGAAAACCGACTGAATCCAAAACAGTGGCTCAATTTTGTGAGGACAGCCTGTGGTATTTTGTACTTGAAGGAGGGGCAGGGAAGTGGGGCTGAGGTGGTGGAGGGTGGGGAAGCATGTGCAAGGACTTCCCTTGTGTTGCTCGAATCTGCCCCAGGCAGCTTTGTTAAAGTCATCCAACCCACAGGCCCAAGCCACATGCCTGTGCTCTTTATAGAGGATGTTTGCCTCTCCATTTAGCTAATTCCTAGACTTTTCAGCTAAAAACCTAGCTCTTTGCTCTCGCACTCATCCTGAACACACTCCACAACAGCCGGTCCAGGCCAACCAGCTGGGATTCACCACCACAAGCTACAAACACCAAGCCTGTACAGCAGACCTGTCTTTCTCAACTCATTGACGGAACAAGGCCTCATATGCCTGCTTTCTTCCCAGCATGGCCAAGCTCCACAAAGGCTGCTCTTGGACAAAGCAGATGAAATGTCACCACTGACACACACCCTTCAAAGGCGCTTCCTCTTGCCCTGCCCACTTTCAAAGGCCACACTGACTCTGACAACAGCAGGGGGCCAACTGCCACTTCTAAGAGATGTGTCTGCAGGGAGTCGGAACTGGGCCCACCACATTGTTCAGTGTTAGCCCCTCTCCATAGGAACCTGCATCGGGCGGGAGGGAGACACCAAGGCTGGGACCCTCAGCAGGTGGAAGCCCTTCGAGGACTTTCGCGGCCAGCAAGAAAAGGTCAGTTTAGGCGGGTTTTAAAGCCCTCATGAAATGGCAGCAAGCAAGAGTTACTCTCCAGAGACAACATGCCTTGTCTCCATCCCACTTACCTGGTTACAGGTGTTAATATCTACCCCATTCCGCAGGTGATCCAAAGCTTTGTCCAAGTTACCTGATCTTGCTGCCCTCAGAAAGCTGGTTGCAGCATCGGCCTGCAGAGAAAAAACAACACACAATCTGTCATGTGTCAATGGCCTCATCTTCCATGCTAGCCCATGTGCGCAAGGTCATGGCAGTGGCCACTGTGCCTTCCATTACAACAGCTGTGTCCACAGTGGTTGGTACCCAGTGTGAGGCAGGCACCCCAGAGGCCCTGGCTGGACTGCCCCTGCCCGTGTTGTAAGACTGCCTCAATCTCTTCCTTTTAGTAATTTTATAAGCAAATGTACTTGGCTAGGACCTGAGAGAGACCAACTTTAAGGGAAGGATCTCTTTCTTGGGTTGAATGCTCAATGCTTCTGTTCCATAGCTGTTACTCAGCCACCTACATCATGTATTAAAGCAGAATGACAGCCAGAAAGAGTGAGAGCGAGGGAAAATAAAGCCAAGGCTACCGATAAAGGCTCACAGCAGCTCCACGTGGCTTGCCGAATGATTCAAAGCACTTAATCATCCTTTGCTTCTACTTCCTTAGCCAAAGAGTGAAAGGCTTCTCATACTGTGAAGATGATGTGTTTTAAATTAACACATAGAAAGTTGAGCATAGTGCCGAGCACATAGCATGTACACAGGTTTGAGTCTAAGGGGTGTTATGGGCTGAACTGGGTTGCCCAAAGACAAGGAAAATCTTATCCCTGCGAATGGAACTTTGTTTCAAAATGGAGCTTTTTATATGAGGTCATACTAGAGTGAGGTGGGTCCTAATCTCAGGAATGTTCTCATAAAAAAGAAGGGGCATGGAGAACAGAAGAAACAAGACCATGTGAAGGGGCATCTACGAATCATCTATTGGTGGTTTCCTCTCCACCCTGGGTCACTCTGCTTTCATTTCCATCCTCTCCTTAGAGAACAGCTGAATTGAATATGACCCAAAGAAAATAAATCCATGCTCATTAATGTAACTTGGAAAAAGGTTCTTGGAGATATGATTAAAAATCTCAAGAGAAGATCAGCATGTGTTATCCACATGGATCTTGAATCCTGTGGAATTTGCCAGAAGAAACAGAACAGAAGAAGACAGAGAATGAGATCGAAGTGTGGAGATGGGCAACAAATGCAATGGTGTGGCCATGTGCCAAGGAAGCCACAACCGCCTGAAACTAGACAAGACAAAAGTGAATTCTCCCGTTGAGCCTCTAGAAAGATCACGGCCCCGAAACAGCTGGACTTGAGACTTCTAGCCATGGTGACTTAGTGGATAAGGAATTGTTTTGCCAACCAAAAGGAGGTGGGATCCAGCAGCTAATCTGAGGGTCAGAAAGATGGGCTATCTCCTCCTCTGCTGGAGGTCAGCTACGAGGTAGTGTTGAGTAGTGTCTATAATAAAGAGAGAGTAAATTTCTTATTTTAAGCCACTGAGTTGTTGGTAATTTGCGATGACAGCCACAAGAAAATAATCTGTACACTAATGATGACCACCTCTAAATGTGAAAGATGACATCTAGAGTCAACATCTCAAATCATACGTCTTCAATTAAACTCTTGTTTCTCTCTCTAAAGTAAGATTCTGACCTTGATTTCTCACAGGCTGTTTGAAGCTTTCTGACTCTCCAGGCTCATCATCTTCATTTGGGGTCCCATTCTTGGTGTTACCTCATCCTTCGCCTTGTCTCACCACCTCAGACCTATAATGCTGCTCTAAATACACATCACTCTTCCTCTACCTCACAGCCGGCCCCACTCCACCCCTGTCTTGCTGATCTTCCTAAAGTCCTCATTTCACCCAGCCATCTCCTGCTCCAGAACCTATACAAGCCCCGTACTAAATAAGCTCACATTTCCGTTCTGTGGTTGCCTATCCATGACACAGCCAAATCTCCATGCTCTCCAACATGGCAGGAGGGTACCCTACCGTAACCTCCCCTGTCTCCCATTCTCAGATGCTTCCACATCCAGGTCAACTCCCTGATTAGCCACTGGACTCCGAAGCCCTACTCATTCCTGACTGCTGATTTCAATCTGCTCTCCCCTCAGGGTCTGACTCAGCTCCTATGTTCCTCCTCATGCTGCCCTGATACTCAACTTCCCCCTCCAACTTCAACTCATGGGGACCTCATTCATGCCAAAGCAGAACTATGCTCCATAGGGTTATCAATGGCTGATTTTCCAGAAGTACTTCAACCACCAGTCTTTCTTCAAAAGCACCCCTCGATAGAGCAGAAATGCTAACCTTCTGTTTAGTGGCTGAGCTCATTAGAGTTTACACTACTCTGGGACTCTCCACTCAATATTTACCATCATAAATCCAGATGGAGTGGGTGGGTGGTGCTCTTGAAGCCTAGGGTTTGGTGGTTGAAATCCACCCAGAAGTCCCTCAGAAGCAGGCCTGTTGATCTACTTCTGAAAGGTCACAGCCTTGGAAACCCTACGGGACAGTTCTGGTCGACATGTGTGTTGTTATGAGGCAGTATTGACGGGATGCTAGTTAACAACAAAAATCCGAGACCTATAAAACAGGTGTTTGGCTTTGAAAATACTTTCTTTTTTCTCTCTTATTATTTAGCACATGCAAGTCTTATCTCATTGGTCAAACTGTTTGCTTCTTGGAGCAAGGATCAAATCTTCTACCTCTTCTAAATTCTTCAAAATACTTACTAATTGAAGATCTTCCCTGGCCTAAAGCTCCTGGCCACTAACATTTCCCCAGGACCTCAGCAAGGCATCTGTGGTAGAAGAAATACCTCAGAAATGAGGATCAGTCTGACCATGAACTTGATTCTCAGAGAAATTAGACTCAAAATTTAGTCCCTCAAATACACGTCTACTGGCACTTGCTGATTCAGAACGTCTGTCTGGATTCAACTGTTAGCAAAAACACTGTATTGTTGTCCAAGAATGCAAGTGTTGAAGAGACACCAATTAGCTATCTTTTACAGCACAATAATAGGTCTCGGAATGAAAACCTGAGAATGGGTGGATAAAAATAGGTGCAGTATTGACTAATGACACCATTCAACTGCTTGACGCACTGAATCTGGGAAGAGAAGCAGAATATTTATGACACGGAGACAAGTGGACGAGCAGAGGTTAAGGAAAACAATCTGGACTTGGCTGAGGAAGTAAAACAATTTCCCTAGTTTCTAAAACATTAATAACGCAATTATGGGACCAACACCAGTCATCGGACCAGGTGCTTGAAACACTGTATGTTTTCATTCTCATCACAACCTGTAAAAATGACAAAAAACAACCCAAAACACCAAACCGAACCAAATGTTGTCTTGTTGATTCCGACTCACAGGATCCTGTAGGACGCAGCAGAACTGCCCCCCTCCCCACCCCGTACCCCGTAGTGTTTACAAGGCTGTGTATCTTTATGGAAGCAGGCTGTCTGCACACACCCCTCCCCACCCCACCCCCACCCGTGAAGCAGTTAGTAGATTCAAACTGTCAACCTTTTGGAAACAGGCCGAGGCTCAACCACGTCCCCCTCTAGTTATGAACCTTGGAGAAGGACATCACTCTTGGTAAAGCAGCAGGTCAGTGAAAAATAGAGAGACCCCCCAGGAAACGGACTGACAGGATGGCTGTAACAATGGGCTCCAACACAGCAAGGACTTCCAGGGCGGGCAGCGCCAGGCAGTGCTCCTTCCATTTCCCATGGGGTTGCTAAGAATCACCACTAACTTGACTGCAACAACAAACTGAAGGTTGGAGCACCTAATTCTTTGTCCAAGTTCCTGTTTAAGTAGTTAAACAGGGCCTGAACTCAGGTCAACCATTCTAAAGTCTATGCCTTTCTACTGCCCTCGACCTCAAGGTGCAGGCTCAGCAGCTCTGCACTTGCAACCCTGAGAGTATCTAGACAGCCCTGGCAGACTGGTAGGGGCTGGACGGGGCTACATGCCTTTGCTAATTAAACAGCGGCTCTGTGGTAGACAAAGGGCCCGGGCAAGTCCAGCAATTGTGGGCTCTGACCAGGGGCTGTGTGTCAAGGCCAAGATGGCTAGGAAGCAGTCATTTAACCACAGTCCTCCTCTCATTCATGACAAAATTAAGGCCCGGCAACGTATTACGACTGCCTTCTTACCTCCTGCCAGTGGGTGAATTCCAACTCACAGTGACCTTAAACTATGAAGTGGGACTGCTCAGAGCGTTGCCTGCACTGTTATCTTCACAGGAGGTGACTGCTGGGTATTTTGTTCCATGAGAGAGTTTGAACCACTGACTTTTCTGGCAAGCACTTACCCACTGCAGCACCAGGGCTCTTTCCATGAAGCCTACAGCCTTGGAGACGCGAGGGGGCTGTTCTACTCTGTCCTGTGTAGTCACTCAGAGTCAGAATCAACTCGAATGGATAGAGTGAATCTTTAGGAAGCAGACTATCTAAACTCAGGTCACACAACACATTAGAGATGAAATTCAACTGCTAAGACTCGTTCCATTTGTCTCTCTGGTCTTCTCTAGGCACGAGGGAGTCAGGGCAGAGTAGAATCCTCAGGGGGTCTTAGAGATGAATTGTAGATAATAGTATCACTCTCCCTGGCTACTGTGGATCACTCAGTTTCAATCTATGATGTATTTACTCAGATTCTGTTTCAAGTTTAGTATCCTAAGGCAAAGGGAGGGAAAATTTAATAATAAAAAAAATCAGACTATAAGTCCCTGTCCTCACAGCTTAAAAAAAAAAGGGAAAGTGATGGGAGTTAGAAAGGAGTCATGCATGCAAGCATCTTCTGATTCATTCAGCGAGGATTTTCTGAGCACTCCGAGGTGCCCGGGTATTTAAGCTATAGAGTAAATGACTCTAACTGGTATTTCAGATCAACTTGCTCTTCTGACCCCTACTTCGCATCTATCCCACTCAATTACCTCCAGCAACAACCCACCCTGGCCTCAGTTTCTTGGTCCATCATGAACGGGTTATATAATTCAAAATATCAAAAAGAGAGTTAAAAACACACAGTATTTTTTCATTTAAAATGTATTCCCCTGAGTAAATCTCCAACTATTTCAGGGCTCTTGTAAATTGGAATCCCATCTACCACTTGCCAGGGAGAGGCCTTTCTATGAAAGAAGACTAAAAACCAGTTCCTGCCAGGTCTGTTCCAACTTGTGGTGGTCCCACTTGTGTCAGAATAGAGCTGTGCTCCACAGGGTTTTGGTTTGGGGTTCCCTCCCAGGGTTTTCTATGGCTAATTTTTAGATGTTGACCACCTTTCCTTCTTTCTAAGAAGCTTCTGGTTAGACTCAAACTATCCATTTTTCTTTAGAAGTCAAGTCCATTAACTCTTTGCACCTTCCAGAGAGGGTGAAAAGAGATTAAAGGTGGCAGACTAAACTCCCAGCTACTACTCAGAAAGTTGGAAGTTCAAACCCATCAGCCTGCTGTTCTGGAGAAAAATGTGCATTTGCTTTCATGATTTTCAGCCTTGGAAACTCTATAGGTCAGTTCTATTCTGCCCTAGAGAGCTGATACAAGTTGGAACCAACTTGTTGACAATGGGTGTGTGTGTGTGTATTTGTGTGTTAACAACAATCTATTAGGGTCTTGGCTGTTATCTACTTACTGCTCAATTGCTCCATGGGCCAAGCATTTTCTAGCATCTGAAATATTCCTCTCAAGTTCGGCTCTGGCTCGAGGAAGCCTTCCGCCTGCCCTCCAAGGCTGTGGCCGTGTCAACCCTCAAACTTCAGGAGGAAGTAAGCAAAAGGGAAAGGAAGGAAAGAAAATTCCTCCTGAGACTCAAGTTCTCATTAAGTCTGCTCTGTAAGGACGGTGAACCCAGGTTACCTGAGACACCAAGACTATTATTAAACTGGTACTTCCTGAGTAGAGTGACACTAATATAGCAATAAGCAAAGAGCCAGGGGGGCTCCAGTGTCCTGGGAGGGAGAAGCTGGAAGCACACTGTTAAATGCCAGCATGTCTGTAACACATGAGCGGGGAAGGCTGCTAAGGTACGAGTTGTTGTTATTAGGTGCCATGGACTCACTTACAACTCATGGCGAGCCTCTGAACCTCCTCGCTCTATCCTGCACCATCCTCATGATCTGCTTTGCTCAAGTCTACTGTTCCCTGTGTCAACCCACGTTGTCGAAGATCTTCCTCTCTTTCTCTGACCCTCCACCTCCCCTAGTACGATGGTTCTTTTTCGAGGACTGGCCCCTCCTAAAACATGCCCAAAGTGAGTGAGATGGAGTTCTACCATCCTTGCCTGAGGGGAGCCTTGGAGCTGTACTTCCTCTAGGACAGACTAGTTTGTTCTTCTGGCAGTCCACGGCATAATCAGTACTCTTCTCCAACACCACAGTCCCAACTGCATCTATGCTTCTATCCTCCTTATTCCCTGTCCAGGCTTCCAAATGCATAGTATTTTTAAAATGCATGCTGTTTTCAAAAAAGCACCAGAGGCCAGGCAGAGTATAGCTTCAGATTAGGTATGAGAACTGCAGGGTTTCTATAAGCATCTTCTCTGGGGCCTGCTGGCTTACTTTCTAGGTTTTGAGAACAAACTGCTCAACCAAAAAAGATTAAGGGGGAAATTAGCTATTGCGACATAAACAGAGATAAGGCAACATCTCCTTCCCAAAAAGCTTTGTTTGGGCAAAACGCCGTTTGGTTAGCAAAGCTCTTGCCAGAAATCCTAGGGAGAGATCCTTCCTTCCTTCCTTCCTTCCTTCCTTCCTTCCTTCCTTCCTTCCTTCCTTCCTTCCTTCCAGTGAGTACTGCAGCACAGCCAGGAGCCCGAGTGAGGCAGGTGGCTCCAGATGTGGAGCTGCTGGTTCCTGCATGGAGGGAGCTCCACATCCGAGAACACTCTTACAGGCTGGCCTCAGGGTATTCCTCATTGCCTGTTTTAGGCCTAGCAGAAAGGACCATCAGTACAGCCAAGAACTTGATTACAAGCAGTTGTACCTGTTTTCTCATGAGGCTTTCCCCCGTTTTTGCAGAAAGTTACAGCTTTACAAACTATCCTTAAGAAAGAACCCCAATCAGTTGGCAAAGCTATCTGAATGAACTAATGGTGCCATTGAGGGATCTCTACCTCTCCATTGAGAAGAGAGTAAGATGTGCACTCAGGAGTCCTGGTTTAATCTCCCGACAAGATTTTGGAGAATTAGGGAAGTCGCTGTGCACTCACTTTGCTTTCTGCATGCGTATTGTGAAAGCTGAGTGATGCAGTAATGTGTGCAAAGTCCAGGGTAGGCCCTGGTGTGGGAAAGATCTGAGTGTGAATCCTTCGCAGACACTTGATGCTGTGCTTTGGACAAGTTCCTAAACCTGAATTTCCCCATTGTCAAAATGGGAATCGCTACATGGTAGTTTTGAGGCCTGAGGCAGAAAACGTATGAGGGCAGCACCCGGCTCCTCCTCGCAAACACACAGAGACGTTTCTTCTCCCGGTCCCTATTCCATTCATTGTCCACTACCTATCGACCTCTGGAGCATTCATGTTTGTAAGGTTTGGGGATAAAGTGTGTGGTGGCCAAGGCCAGGGCACCTATGAGGTTACTGGAGGGTCCCTGCAAAGGGTGACCAGGGGCCTCACCTCAGCAAAATCCGCTCAGCAGGACTTTCCTTCCCAAGAGGGAAGGTGGCCTGGAGTGCCCCCGGCCCTCACGCCCCTGAGGAGCCCCCACGTGTGTCCCCTCGCCAGTTCACCTCCCTGTCCCGCCGCCACAGGTCGGGCCGCCGCGGGCCAGCTCCAGACACCAGCCCGTTCGCGCCGGCAGCCTCTGAGCCAAAGGAATTTTCCTCTGGATCCCGCTAGGAGCCTCAGCAGCCGGCGTGAAGCAGCAGAAGGGCGGCCCTGGGGCGCGTCCCCGCACCCGCCCGGCAAAGTTGGCGCCTAGAGGAGCCCGGCGGGGACCCGCGGCGAACCGGGCTGCGGGGCCGGCTCTCCGCCCAGCGGCGGCCGGCAGCACTCGGAGCAAGGCCCGGAGCGCAAGGAGCGCCCATGACAGAGCGGCCCACGCAGGTCACATACTCACAGCAGGGTCTGGGCAGGACCTGCCCTGTCGCGCTGCCATCGTCCGCGCTCGCGCTGAAATCCGAGCCCGGGGCCCTGCTCCTCCTCCTCCGTTATCTGCTCAGCGGCGCGGGGAGCGCCAGCAAGTTACGCGGCATCTGGCTAAAAATACAGGCTCCCTCCGCTCGCTCCGCGCGCCCCGGACCCTGCGCTCGTCCGCTCCTCTCTCGCTCGCCCGCCAGCCGCTAATGGGATTTCTTCATCTTCTCTCCATTATTATGTCAGATTGGAAAGTTAATGCGAAGCGATCTCCGGAGGGAAGGCACCTGCTGCCAAGCCGAGTGGAGGGGGTGCGCGGCGGGAGCGGGCGGAGCTGCAGGTGCCGGCCGGCCCCGGGCGGAGAGCCGGCGTCCCCCTGATGCAGAAGGGAGGCACACACGTCCAATGGAGGTGAGGAGCTCCAAGCTGCATGGCGCTCCTGCCCTGCCTCCTGCCACCCGACCGTCCTAGTGAATGGGCCCTGGAGCCTACAAAGAGGGCCAGGGTGAGCTCAGCAAAGTCTATTTATGCCCCATAACCAATCTGCATGCTTTGAGCTCTTACATCGTCCTGAGGAACCAGCTAATCAGCCTATTCCCCATTCTGCCGTAGAGTCCATGACGCGAACTGCAGCTGCGGAGCAGGGCGCAGATCTGTTACTACAGTCTCCCTCCTTCCTCAAGTCTGAAGGCGTTGAATTGTCATCAAACACGGTGGTCCGCGGAGTCAGTGCAGCCAGATTTCTGTTCTTGGGGCAGCCTTGTTGTTTAGTGAGGCCATTTCGGGGGCATATGTTAAGAGCATAGATGTGGGTGGTGGGCAAAGAGTAGGAGTGGGGTGGGCGCAGTTAGGCCGGAGATTAAGGACAGGCACTACAGTGAGTGATGAGAAAGGATCAGCTAAGTGATGCCAAGTAACAGTCCCTGTAGTATGACTGGCTGTTTAGACCGCGGATGTTTCGTGTCATGGGCCCAGCACCACGATCTCTTCACACAGGGGTCTAGATACCATGCTAATACTCTAAATTTGCCCCATCCTTAATCACTGCTGTGTGATGGCAAGAAACTAATGAGCTGAGCATGTAGTCAGTGCTGCACATATTGCACTACTGCATTTACTGCTCACTGGCACCTTGAAAGGTGGTGTTATTGGTAGGTGCCAGCAGTTTGGCTAGGACTCATATCCACTTCTATGAATGACAGAACAAAACAGCCCTCTGTGCCTGTTTTATTAACATTGTTACAGTTGGGGCCACGTTGCAGC